GGTGCATGCACATGTACGCTGCAAAATATCACCGTGATGATCTGGCCCAGTCAGGGCTTGTTAAACAAAAGTCACGTGGTGGCCAAGCCACAGCCGAGCTGCTCCCGAACACGTCACACAGTTGGCCAACCGTGGCATTCGCAGTGCCCAATGCCCGAATCTCCATCGCATGACGTTAAATATCGCCGACCCTCTGCTGCCAAGACAACTTCAAACAGAAAGAAAGCTTATTCACGCCGCAACACGCCGTCGCCCACGCGGACGCTTTTCTCGGCGACACGCCGGGTGAGCCCCAAGGAGCGAGGGCTGTTCGCAACCGTTGGCGTCGCTGTAATGGCCGCGGGCTGAAGCAGATCAGAGCGCGGCGATCCGGCAGAGGAGGACGCTTTTCGAGGACAATTGCGCAGAATCGCGCCTTGAAGTTCAAGCGGCGACTCTATGGAGTGTACCGCAGTTCTGGTACCGGGCCCCTAACCGCGCCGCGTCTATTGTGGGGACCATAGACGGGCCGTTGAACCTGGGAGATGCGCGTTTTTCACCGCCCGACCGACCACGCGACCGACCGTATCATAGGCTATGATACGGCAAGAAGCGGGTGGTGCAGCGCTCGCTGCGGCATGAGCAAGATTCGCCGCCGGCGAGAGATTCACCGGACTGTTACATGTATATGGTCATAGCGAGCGCTGGCGCCAGTCGAGGCGCTCGCTCGTTCGCCAATCGCGCGGCCGACGGGCGGGTATGGTGTTCATGCACACGTATTTTACATGGGAGAAACACCCTACAGTAATGTTCATGTACTTTGAGGCAGGCCTCTCGGGCGGCGGCGGCAGCAGCAACCCGAGCACGGCAAGATACACAGGATGATAAGATCCATCCGCCCCTGTTTGATTGTCGACAAGGCGGCCAGTGTCACAGGCACCCTCAGGCACGTGCCGCGGGTGGCTCTTCTTGCCGGCCATGCCGCTCGCGGTGCGCGCGGTGCGCGTTCGTCGCGCGAGCACAAGGCCTTCCGGGGCGATTGGCAGCGACGACGAGCGTGCCGCCGCCGCCTTCCCGTTGCGTGGTGTCGTTTGACACGAGTCTCAGCTCACAGTGAGCTGGCAGCCAGCCAGCCAACAGGGGCCCATCCATCGCCGTCGTCGGAGTTGCAGCGCGACGGTGAGACGGCGGGCAACCAACAGCGTGCCCCGAAAATGCCAATCGAGCAACAATGGCCGGGATTGTCGCCTGCGCTGCACATTCCGTCTCATGAACCGTGGCGCCTTGCAGCGTGTCTTTTTGCGTGGCGCCGCCGGCCAATCGCAGTTCGCGCGACCGCCGGCAGGGCCATACCGGGGCCAAGTCAGCCGTATCTTTGCTGCTTGGTCGGCCATTGGCGACAATTTGCGCCAATGGCGGGCCGCGCGCGTGGCTGCTGGCGACGAAAATACTGCTGGCAGCGCAGCGCCTCTTGCACCACAAGCGCGGCGGATAGACAGGCTCGGATGATGGCCGCGGGCCGCCGGCGCTGTAGACGCCCGCACACTCACTCACTCACTCACTCACAATCGAATCTGCCATCCATTGCCCAAGCGCACCCGCCACCAGCATGCAAGAGTTCTCCGACTGGATGACCACGCTGCAGACGCAGCACAGCCCCGCGTCCTCGTACGCCGAGACCGACTGCGCCGACTCGGACAGCGACGACGGCGACTGCCAGTGCCGCCTCGACTCCAAGCGCAAGTTCGCCGCCAAGGACGCCCAGCGCGTCTGGACGCGCACGGCGCCGATCAGCATCCCCACGTCCGGCCGGCGGCATCCGCACCCGCACCTGTGCGCGAGCGTCGTCGAGAGCCCGGACCTGTCCTACCACGCCGACATGCGCCTGCTGCGCGCCGGCCGCTACCTGCACGAGCACGAGGACGACCTGGACGGCTCCGAGCAGGAGCTGGACGAGGACGACCCGGCCTTCTACGGCAACCTGGCCTTCTTCCGCTCGCAGTGCGGCGCGCAACCCCGCGTGGTGCGCCGCAGCTCGCACCCGCTCAAGGCGTCCGCCGCCCCGTCCTCCCCGACTTCGGTCGACGACCGCGACGAGGACATCTTCGCCATGGAGCTGTAAGCACCCGCCGCAGTCGTAGCACCGCAGGGCAGACTATTTATTCAGCTCGCATAGAGGAGGGCTTGTAAGGCAACCAATGCACGCCGTAACTTATCCACAATCGAACATTATTACCCGCCCGCAACTTGCACTTGGCTTCATGCCGCGCACCTTGCCACCCGATCTTATCTTTGTCGTGTCGTAGCGGCGGCGCCGCAGCAGCGGAGCTTGACGTCATCGCGCGATGACACCCGGTCGCTCGTCGTGGCCGGACGCGACAGCGACAGCAGCGAGCCGGCGGCACGAGCATGCTGCGGTGCAATCGGCCAGGGCCTGCTAGCCGTGCCACCACCTCCTCGTCAGGGTCGACCGTGCGCTGCGTGTTCCCCACAAGTTGCAGTTTAGTTGCAGTTGCCCCTGTACCGGTATCTGGTACCGAATCTCGATATTCTGGAAGAGATTCGTTTGACAAAGGTAACCCAGGCCGACCCCGCCCCGCGCACACGCCGGCGCCGCTGGCCAGCCGTAAACACCGAGCCCCATGCGTGGAGCGGCCCGCGCCTGGCACGCCGGCGGGCTTCTTTTTACCGTCACCTCCGGGCTCGGCTCATTCAGCGCCAGCAGATTCGGGCTCGGCCGTGCGCGCTTGACGCGGATTCGGCGCTGCGCACTTTGGGCCAATGGGCGGCCGCCCAGCGCGCGCGTGCTCCGCGGCCGGCCAGCTGGCGGCGCTTGGGCTCGGAGCCCGGCCATGTCACGATCGCCAGCCTTCACAGCAACCGCCGACCGCGGCACCGAGCTCGTGCCGGCACCTCAGTCCGCAATTGTCGAAGCCTCGCGCACGCGCCCCCCCCGCGCCGAAGCCCGTTGACTAGCATCCAGCAATGCCCCTCGCTCAGACCCAGAGCCTGCCGACGTGGGCGCCCATGAAGCCCAGCGCCGGCGCCGCCGCCGTCTGCAAGCCCGCCTTCGACGACGAGGACCCGCTGTACCTGTCGGGCGAGGAGACCGACTGCGACTCGGAGCGCGGCAGCGACACGCTCAGCCGCGAGGACCAGCAGCTCATGGCCAGCTTCATCCGCCTGCAGCGCGACCGCGCGCACAAGCAGCTCTTCCACAAGGAGGTGTCCCGCCCGGCCTTCGCCGCCGGCCCGCGCACCTCGCCCGTGCTGATCCCCGCGCAGACGCGCAAGTACGTCGCCACCTCCACGAAGCGGTGGCTGTGGGACGAAGACGAGGAAGAGGACGAGGACGCCGACCAGTGCTCGTGCTGCAGCCACCCGACGGAACAGCAGCAGCAGAGCGAGAGCCGGCCGGCCACGCCCCCCCCCGCCGCCGAGGCCAGCGACGCCGCGACCAGCGACCTCATCTTCGACCTCGAGCTCTAGGCCGCGTCCGAGGCCCCCACAGAATAGTTTATTATGTTATGTAGCGCTCCACTACTATAAAAAGAGAAGTCCGTGTAGTGCAAGTAGTAATAAGTATGTGCAGAATGAATGCCAACACGTTACAGTGTACCATTTCAAGTGTGCTCTAGTGTTGCTGTTGCAGTTGCCGCGCTTTGCCTGTGCAAGCGAGTTGAGCTCGAAGGGTTGACTCAGCTCTTATTCCCGTAGAGAGAGCATCCCTCCCGTCCATTTAACAACGTCCCCACCGGCTTTACCGGTGCTGGAGCTCCGGGCAGCGTGGCGGAGCGGAGCTCCAGCCCGTCGGCTCCGCCGTCACCGCTGAGATCGCCATCGGGGATCGGGGCCAAGTCGGATTCATATGCGATGCCCCCGTCGCTACGCTCGCTCCTTGGCAGAGCCATAATCAGGGGTTAGCGCTCGCAATCCACATCGCAAGATGCTGGAGACGCACATCATCATGCATTGCATGACAAATGAAGGCACTTGTCGCGGCGAGGCTGCGGCTAGCGAACGCGGCAGTCTGCAGCTCGTGCCTCTGCAATCAGCGGCGCTCGGTATCGCAGCATAGAACCCGGCGACCGAAAGTTGGAATGCACCTGGTCATGGCAGTTGAGACGAAAGCTGAGAAGCAGAGAAAAGCAGGTCGTTGTATGGGAACGGGTAGGAACCCGTGAGTGTTGGTAGGATCTCAGGCAGTGAACAGCTAACGCTCCATCAATTCAGTCTTCATTTTATCCTTCGTAGGCACAAGGTGCTCGGATCCGGTGCAGGTTCCATTAGGGTTATGAGCCCAAAGCACGCTGCCGGCGGCAGCTACTCGGGGATGTCGAAGCCCCTGAAGTACACGAACGAAGGGGTGCCGAAGAACTGGAGCGGCAAAGATTGGCAGACGTACAAGTGGGCCATGATGAACGTGTTCAAGGAGAACAAGCTCAAGGAGATCGCGGTCGGAGACCTGACCAGGGCGATGCTCGCGACTGCGAGTGCGGAGAGGCTGGAGGCTTTCGACGCAGCGCAGCTCAAGATCATGCGCATGGTGGGTACGTCCGTGCCGCCGGACGTTCTTCAGCAGATACGCGACAAGGAGCCCGGATCGGAGATGTGGGCGGAGCTCTGCAACCTGTACGAGGGCAAGCAGAATGAAGCCACCAAGGCCTACACGATTCGTCGGTCAAGAAGGTGCATTCGAGTGGTCATGCAGTGGCTGGCGAGATTATTGACGCTAGTGTGATGTTCCCACCGACCCTGTCGATGAATATCGGGAAGCGGTCGCATCGTGACGAAACTCCGTCGGAAGAGGTGCGCGTCGAGCGAGATGCAGCAAAGACAGATGTGAAGAAGACACGCACCGGTCTTCGCGAGTACGACGAGCGTCGCCGTCCCAGCTACTTGAAGGACTATGTGATGAACGCTACGCTCAATACCTCGCGTACTCTGGACAAGAATGGACGACCCATAAGAGCAAGTAATGTGAAGATTCCTCGGAACCACCGTGAGATGATGCGTTCTAAGTGACGAGAGTTCTTTCTGATGCGCGAAATGGAGGAGATTGCAGCGCTGAAAGCCAAAGGTGTTATCTTGGAGATTCCTGGCGAAGAGATGCCTGAGGATGCACTGCTGGTGAATACGATGTGGGTGTATGACTTGAAGACGGACCACCAAGGATATGTGATCCGCTTCAAGGCTCGCATTGTTGCACTGGGCAATTACCAGCGACCCGGGATTGACTTTCGTGAGACGTTCGCCCCCGTTGCTAGGATGTCGTCGTTCCGACTGCTGCTGGCGATAGCAGCGGAGCTGGGACTGAGTGTGTTTGGTGGAGATATAAACACCGCATACTTGAATGCTCGTCTGAGTATTCGGCAGTACCTACGATCGATCGATGGCTATCCCTGCAATGTGAATGGGCATGTGTACGTGGTACTGAAAGCATTGTATGGACTGCGGCAGTCAGGTCACGAGTGGAATACGGAACTGAACCAGTGGTTTCTGGATCACGGGTACCTGCGATCTCTGACGGAGCCGTGTCTGTACTATCGTTTCGAGGGTGAGACGATGGCGTACGTGCTAGTCTACGTCGACGATATTCTCGTAGCGACAAACGACGAGCCGAACAAGGAGCGCTTGTTCAAGGAACTGAACGAAGCGTATGGGATCAAGGACCAAGGGTTGCTGGCGCAGTACTTGGGCGTTGAGGTCGAGCAGACCACGGAGCGGATTGCGATTCGACAGGAGAAGTACGCAAATGAGATTTTGAATAAGTTTGGCTACAGTGAGGCTCATGCTGTTGGAAATCCCATGGAAGTGAATGTGCGTCTGGCGCCGAGCAGTGATGAAGTGGTGGCGGATACAAGCTTCCCTTACCGTGAGGCAGTCGGGATGCTCATGTACTTGGCCACCAGTACGAGACTGGATTTGGCTTTTGCGGTAGGACAGCTGAGTCGCTTTGTTGCAAAGCCGACCACAAAGCATGTGAGCACTTTGAAGCGGGTGCTGAGATAAGCTGGCACACGCAACTATGGGATCACCTACTCGAGAGGGCAGATAGTTTCGAGTGAAGTGGTGCTGGAAGGATATTGCGATAGTGATTGGGCAAATGATCCTGAGCAACGCAAGAGCACTACGGGGATTGTGTTTACCCTAGCTGGCGGTGCCATTGCGTGGATGTCACGACGACAATCGATCATTGCCTTGTCCACGGCAGAGGCCGAGTATGTAGCGGCTTGTGAAGCAAGTATGGAGGCGGTTGCAGAGAGTAATATCTTGCAGGAGATCCTGCCTCATCACACTATTCGGCTATGGACAACCAAGCAGCTCACGTGATGGCTACAAGCCCGACCTACAGCCGCCGCACGCGGCACATTGAGCTACGTTGGCACTATGTGCGGGAGCAAGTGCAGAAAGGAGCTATTGAGCTGCACAAGGTGAAGGGTGAGCAGAACCCTGCCGACACGTTCACTAAGCCTCTTGACAAGAAGAGACTCAAGGCGTTGCTGTTGCTGGCCGGTGTTGGAAGCGTGCAATAGGCGAAGAGTGCTCTTCGAGGAGGGCGTGTTGGAATGCATATCTGAGACCTGGTCATGGCAGTTGAGACGAAAGCTGAGAAGCAGAGAAAGCAGGTCGTTGTATGGGAACGGGTAGTGTTGGTAGGAGCTCAGGCAGTGAGCAGCTAACGCTCCATCAATTCAGTCTTCATCCTTCGTAGGCACAAGGTGCTCGGATCCGGTGCAGGTTCCATTAGCTGGAGACGCACATCATCATGCATTGCATGACAAATGAAGGCACTTGTCGCGGCGAGGCTGCGGCTAGCGAACGCGGCAGTCTGCAGCTCGAGCCTCTGCAATCAGCGGCGCTCGGTATCGCAGCATAGAACCCGGCGACCGAAAGATTTGAACGGGCAAGAGCTTTGCCCCGTCGGCCTGCAAGTTGCCTTTTTTGCGCAATTGTGTGGCGCGCCGAGGTGCTGCAGACACTGGGGCAGATTACCCCCCTCGACGAAAGCGGGAGCGGCCCCGCGATCGGCGAGCTGCCATTGCCAGCGGCAATGTGCTGCTGCCGCATGGATACAGCTCTCGCCGCCGCGCTCTTGCTGAGTCTTGCCCCCAGCGAGCGCCGCCAGCCACAGGAGGGCATTCAGAGACCAGCCGAGCGCGCGCATGCCAATCGGGGTGATTGCGCGCGCGGCAACGCGGCGTCGAGCTTCGTGCAGTCGTTCGGCGCCCTTGTCCGTCCGTCTGCAGCGTATTGAGTCACCACCGAGACGGAAGTGGCGGCCACGGGCCGAGGGAAGGCCGAGAGCTCGTGGCCGCCACACGCCTCACACAATGCGCGGCGCATCCCTGCTGTTTGAACCCGCGTGCGCTAAAGATTGCACCATTTAGTGTCTCACACACAACATCTCTTTTCACCAATCCACTGTCGCGCAATTTCCACCAATGACATGCCGCGCAAGAATTACCGCAGTCGGACAGCAAAGGGAGCCCACAAGGTGAGGCTGCGACCACGCCGACGTGACCTGGGACCTGTGCGCCTTGATATGCAGCCGCTCGTCGCCGCCGCCCTGGGCGTCACGCTCTTCGTGGCCGTCATCGCCGTGTTTGTCCACGCCGCCCGGAGACGAGCAGCTACGGCGTCCGAGGCCGACAGCAGCGACGACGACACGTCGGGGCCGCTGAGCGTCAATGTGGTGGCCGACCACGACGAGCAGGACTCGCTGCTGCCCAAGTTCGCGGGGCTGTTGCGGTCGCCCTGGCACAACGTCAGCGCTGCGAAGAGTGAGAAGCAGCAGCAGCCCAAGGTGATGCGGCCAGTCCGGAAGGGCTCGCGCTCCATGTCGCTGCCACTCCGCAAGAAGCGGAAGCCCGCAGAGGTGCCGGTCAAGAAGGTGCACGTGCCGTACTTTTTCCCTCTGCTGGACGAGACCGCAGAGTGGTGGCAAACCCAGCAGCCTGCAGCCGAACCCCAGCCGACTCCGGAAGAGGAACCTGAAGCAAGCAGCGCAGATACGATTGACAATGCGCAGTGCACGGACGAGAAGCATACACTCGGGTCATCATTACCCTCGCAATTGTTGCAAACTTGAATAGCCTCTGTGCTGAGAGTGAGATGACCACAACTCCGATTGAGGTTGAAGGGCACTGGCCGCGGATGAATTGGCGAACGAAGCCGGTCGGTGTAGAAAGAGAAGAAGAACAGTACGCTAGACTTTGTAAATAGGTAACAAGTAGAATGGACGTACGTACGCTTGCCTACAAATGAGATCCTAGATCATCGGCGGCGCACTGCACCCGGCGTGCGCACAACTTGTCCAGGTTGAAGCTGTCTGTCCCACTTTTTACGGGACGGGGCCACCTGATACAGTAAGAGCACGGCCCATGTGCACTTATTCCCGACCAATGGCTTGGTCTCAGTATGCAGAGTGGGCGCCCACTCAAAAACCATCGCCCATCAAACCCGCGCGGGAAAAAACGAAGGGGGAAAAGGAACAGCGCGAAGCAACCGGCAAAATGATGGAGATGCCGCTCGACATCGGGCTGCGCGTCGGTGCGTGCGTCTCGCTCCGCGCCTGTATAGCCCCTCCCACTGACCTTCACTCTCTCTCTCTTTCGCCGCGCAGACGTGCTGGACGACGAGGGGATCTGGAACACGGGCGTGATCGTGGACGTGGGCAAAGAGGCCGACGAGGACGAGGACAAGGTCGAGATCAAGTACGACGGCTGGGGCGACGACTACAACCAGTGGATCGGCGTGGCCACGCAGCGCCTGGCCCCGCTGCACACGTACACGATCGTCAAGAAGTGCTGGGCCAAGCTGACCAAGTGGCCCTGGTGGCCGGCTTTCGTACGTATATTTTATTTTCTTATTTGTTTTCTTATTTATTTTTAGAACATAGTACTTCATTTTTTGCTGACGAATGATACTTGTATACTTGTGATCTGGTACAACCAATGACCAGGTTGTGCTACGCGCGCCCACGACGGCGCTGGCGGCCCAGGGCCTGGAGGAGGAGACGAAGCTCTACGTCGAGTTCTACGACTCGTTCAATGAGGACAAGCGCTCGCGCTGCTGGATGCAGAAGAAGAACGTGGCGTCCTTCCGCGACGGCTTCGAGGAGCGCGCGTCCAAGAACATTGGCAAGAACTTCCCCAAGTTCGTGGAGGGCACGCAGCGGGCCAAGGCCGGCACGTCGCCGCTGCTGTTCTCGGGCCCGGGCACGCTGCCCATCGAGTACTCGAGCAAGATGGCGGACCCGCTCGAGGAGAAGCGGAAGGAGTGCACGTCGGAGCAGTGGTTCCACCTCTATAGAGACTTTAGCAACCGCTACAAGGAGCTCTACGGCTACACGACGGCGCCCACGTCGTCGTCGACCAAGAAGACGTCCTCGTCGAGTGCCAGCAAGTCGGGCAAGCGCGGCCCTGGTCGCCCTCCCAAGAAGGCTGCGAAGGAAGTGCAGTCGGAAGGTTCGTGCCTGGTGTTTTTGAGGTCGTTGTCTAACTGGTGCGCAAGCAGAAAAGTGATGTTGTGGATGTTGCTGGTGTGTTTGTGGTGCGCTGTTGTTGCCTTTTAGTTGACGATGAGAGCGAAGAGAAGGAGGAGGAGCCGGAAGCCGACGCTGTCGAGGAGAGCGGCGACGATGAAGAAGAGGAGGAGGCGGCACCGGCTCCTGGTCGACGGACCCGTCAGAACAAGCGCGCCGCAGCCCCCGCACCAAGCACGCGCCGCAGCACCCGGGCCCGACGCGTTAAAGGTTAATTTGACGTTCCTTCCTTCCGTCTGCAGTTGTAGTGCGGGTGGATGGGTGCGTGCGTTCGTGCCTGTGCGTAGCTTTCTGCCTGCCATGCGTGCATAGTGTTGATCTTCGGCTGTGTATGTGTGGTATGGCTCGTTTTTTAATCAGTAATTGAGGAACTGACGCAAACAAGCTCTTCCAGCTCTTCCTTTGCATTTTCACCTCCCCCGTCCGTACGCGAAGCGAGCTCCAGATCTTCAAGCGTGGCCAGGGACAGCAGCGTCGGCATTGTAACCAACCACATGGACTTTGTAGTCAAACCGGAGGGTCAAGTTCCATCCTCGGAGACCAAGCTAACTGCCAACGGTATTGAAGAGAAACCAGCACCATCCGATCTTCC